GGTCAGGTCCATCCAAATGCCATCTCACTCACTGGCTTAATGCCAGAAGTTAAAATGAGAAGGGTGTGAGGTGAGGGCTGAAATCCCAGTGAGACCCCACTGCCCACTCAGTGGAGTTCTTCATCCGTGGTCAAGAAGACCACTAAAGAATTCTGACTCCGGAATGAAGCTCTGTAGGGAGGTGGGGCGTAGCCCCCACATCTCTTGGGCCTGGCCATAGCTAGGGAAAGGCGGGAGCGGCTCCCACTTTTGTGATATGCCCTCAGCAGTTCAAATCCACTGCACAGAACCAGTTGGATGTGTCAAATCCCCACTAGGCCTTCAAGAATGGGCACAGCTCAGCACAGGGAGAAAGGAGGTAGGTGAGCTTCAACTTTCTCTGAGCTGTTACAAGCTCGCCATGGCCCTACAGTCACAGGATGGCCCGGAATGGCAGCTCACCTGCTGTGGCTCTGAGCTTGCTGCCCTCAAGCTGTAACTTGCCATTCTGGATGCTCTCCTGTCCTTCAGGCCTCGGAAGCATGGCATAGTGCTCCAAGGTGCTGTCCATGCTCCTGGACCAAGGCTTGGCTTTCTCCTTCCTCTCCCACCTGAATTTCCTTCTGAAGGTGATATGCGCTCTGAATTCCTAACAGGTGAGGGAGTGAGAGAGGAAGAGGCTGATGGCGGGAGTGTGAAAGGCCGAAGGTGAATCTCTCAGGGGTAAAGCACAGAGAGACGCCTAGCAGGGACACAAATCTTTGGCTCTGCAAGGGGGAGGTGTGTGTTTTAAAGTCCTCTTAAATATCACTATAGAACCTTCGTCCAACAACAGAGGGTAACAGAGGCAGAGACCCACATCAGAGCACTGGACTGAGCTCCTAAGGTCCAGTTGAAGAGTGGAAGGAATGAGAGTATGAGCCAGGAAGTCAAGACCATGAGGGGTTCACCCACTGAGACAGTCTGCCTGAGCTAATGGGAGCTCACCAACTCCAACTGGACTGGGAGTGAATGAGCATGGGATCAAACTAATTCCTCTACGTGTGGCTGACAGTTGGGGCCGACTGAGGGGCCACTGACAGTGGAGATTTGTCTCTACTGCATGTACTGGCTTTTTGGGATTGGATGTATTCCTTGCTCAACCTGGATGTAGTAGGGGGAGCAGGATGCCTTGCCCTCTCTTAGGATTGGAGGGCATGGGGTGTGTGTGTGTGTGTGTGTGTGTGTGTGTGTGTGTGTGTGTGAAGGAAGTGGGAGGAAAGTGGGAGGAGGGGAAGGAGTGGGAACTTGGATAGGTATTTTTTAAAGTAATAAAATAAAATAAAATAAATAAATAAAAATAAAGTCCTCAACCATGAGCCGGGTTGAGACGTCACTCTTTTCTGTTATTTATTTGGGCTAAATACGTCTACATGATTAGCTTCATGTACTACAGTCTGCTCTGTGTTGTCCGTTAGATGTCTGAGAACTATTTTTGTTTGTTTAACTACTGGCTTCTCATTTGCAGAGCCGCTTTGCAACAGACCTACGAGTCTGTCAGAAGGCACCTGATGCCTGAATTCTTGCCCTCTGTGGTCCCTGGAGATTTCTTTGTATGTCTTAGGGTTTCTGTTCTCCACCTGGAAAGCAGGGCTTTGCCCAGCATCTCACCTGTGTTCGTCTCTGTGTGCGTGTGCTTGTGTGTGCACGTGCTCACGTGTACACACACACACACACACACACACACACACACACACACACACACTTGCTCATCAGCAGGCAGTCTTCTGGGTAAAAGAATGTGGCAGGTGTCAATCCCAAGATTGTCTTAACAATGAAGTAAGCTCAGGCTCCACGTCTGTTTCTATACAGTTGATAAACATCTTTCTCTTTGATAAGCCGCCCTCACCTTTGGCACACTGCACTATTTTACAGCAAGGGGCCAGAAGACAAAGAAGAACCAGAGTTTTTTTTTAAATTAATTTTATTATTATCATATGTGTCTAATGTACCTCTATATTATATGTGTATGTGAGAAACATGTGCAGGAGCTCATTGTGGTATCTGTGTGTGTGTGTGTGTGTGTGTGTGTGTGTGTGTGAGAGAGAGAGAGAGAGAGAGATAGAGAGAGAGAGAGAGAGACTTTTCAAGTCTGTTATCTCCCTCCACTTCTAATGGGTTCCAGGGATCACATTCATGGCTCCAGGCCTGATGAGAAGTGCCAGCCCCCACCCCCTGCTGAGCCATCATGCCAGAACAGCAAGGGCTTTCCCAATTCCCTCACTTGTTTGAATTATTGTGATGCATGCTGTAAGTATATAAGAAAAAGAGCCAGAGTTAAATTTAAAGAATTTGGTGACTTCACCTCGTAAAATCTAATTGGCTGCTTGTAAATGTGTCACGGGACAGCCAGCATTCACCCTGTAGAGAAGCCACGATGGAAGCTATGGCCGGGTTCTCAGCTGCCTTGACTACCCCCTAAGCAACTGGGGAGCTGCCAGTGGGGAACGGACTGCCTCACAGTGGCCTGGTCAGTCCTGAGAGGGCCATTTGTCTGTGACTTTATCCAGCTACCTTATATCAGGTGGTACAACTACATCCGAGTGAATGGATTTGCCTTTGTCTTAATGGGGCTGCTGATCCATTGGGGCTCCCCAGCAACTCAGCCGGGTCCGGAGAGGAAAGCCTGCAATCTCCATGTCAGCTCCAAGATTAAAAACATATATGGGAAATAATTTTTGAAGAAATAATTTATTCCTGAATTATTTGATATATAAGTCTCTTCCTAACTAAACCAGCATAATGGAAATTAGATTGTAAGACAGAAAGCTGCGCATTTCAATGCATCTAAGATATTGATCATATATTTTAGTTAACAGCTTATTACATTGTATCATTGGAACCCTACGGCCATATTTGAAAAGCACAGACATGCGGGATAATATTTGCAAGAAACTGGGAGACAGGTTAAGGTATCCCAGACTGCAGCAATGATTTTGGTTCAATTCTGTTCCCATATCTTATTCCAAGCAAGACTAATCTATAAAGCATGCTCTTCAATCAAGAACCAGAAAATGGATATAATCACCCCACCTGGATAGAATTTAAGAACAATTTCCAAAGGCTCTGTCCTAGTGAGGGTTACGACTGCCGTGACAAGACACCATGACCATGGCAACACTTAATAAAGAAAACATTTAATTGGAGCGGCTCACTTACAGTTCAGAGGTTCAGGCCATTAGTAACATGGTGGGGAGCATGGTGGTGTGCAGGCAGGTGTGCCGTTGAAGAAGTAACCAGTGTCCTAGGGATAGGGATAGGATAGGAATAGGATAGGAATAGGCAGGGTCTTCTGTTCTTCATACACAAATGCACACATGTGCAAGCCCCGCCCCCACACATAGACAGACACACACACACACAAATGCTCTTTTCTAGCTTAAAGAAATCAAAGGGCAGCCTTTTTATCTGTCTGGTATCGAAATCTTTATTAGAAGAAAAAAAACCAAATATACAATGAGCAACAACAAATTTTATTAAATATTAACCATTTTAGCTACCCAAGGTATTTTAGAGCATACACTTTGAGTGTTCCTGCATAGCAGAGACACAGTGATTATATAACCCACGCCGCCACGGGCTCAGGAGAGCCCAAACCACCAGGCGTGGGGCGGGAGGGGTGGTGAGCCCACACCGCAAGGCGCTAGTGGGAACTTTTTGGTATAAAAGTATCTAAAGTGACCTTCCAACAAACAGATCATTGATAAACGATACTAAGTTATTACTGACTGACTCACTAATGTCCACCATGTGGTTGACTTGCTATAAGTCTGAGTTGGGTTAAACGGAGTTGGTTCTCCTAAACCTTAGCACTCCTCAGAACATTATTTAAAACTGAATCAAAGACTTCTATTGGCACAGTAAAAAAATCGACAGGTAAACAGGTTTTCTCATAAAAAGTGGATTGACATATACAAAACAGGCTCCCACTGAAGAGTCAAGTGTAACGGAGGTCGTCAGCACCGGGCGTGCCCCTTACCACCCTCTGAGGGGCAAGCATCCCCGCATAACTCCCACAAGCTGCCCTTGGGGACGGGTAAGACACTAGATGTGCAGGGTCCGACCTACCGTATTTTTAAGGAACTACTATAGAAAAGATTTTACTTTAAAACTTCCTTCAGTTAAAAACAAAGACAAAGCCAACAGATTTTCTCCCGGGTTGTTTTGCTTGCGTGTAGCACACATTTGTGAATGTCCACAAGGTGCAAGGGGAATTGTTCGAGTCACACAATGAGCTCCTCTGGAAGTGAGGATTACCAGGAGTGAAATGACCAGAGGTATCCAGTCGGCAAGCGAGGTGGAAACAAAACAGAAGAAAACAAACTGAAAACGTGAGAAGACCTTTCATCGCTTGACACTGCAGGGCTTGATTTCTTCAAACAAGGTCTGTACACTTGCCCACAAGATCCGGGAAGTACTGACCAGCCAGGAAGGCACTTGCGAGAGAACTGGGTGGTTAGGGCGGGTGGCTGACTGGCAGCTCTCACAGGAAGCATCCTCTACTTAGGCAAAACGGAGGCAGGTGGTCTGCTTAATTGGTTGACTGTCAAACAGGAGTGGGGAAGGGACCTAAAAACATTTATCTTGCTTTAATTATCAATTTTTCCCTGCAGAAGTCTTTTTAGTTGTCATCTTAAAAAAATTATTAGTGATTTAAATCATGTATATGCCATTAAGTTAATACTGAAAAGAATATGAATGTACCTAATATATTTTTCCAAACATCCAAGCCTCTTTATGTTAAAAAAAAATACAAAACGAAAGAGCTTAGTATAAAAATGTTGCATGTTATTAACAATCCCCTTGCAGCTTCTGATGGCTTCACAGGTTACAGAGTGGGCTTTGGTATAAGATGAGAACGCAAGCAGCAAGGCCGTGGATACGGATATCCCCGACCGGAGCACTGTGCAGGGAGTGTCAGACGGACCCAGCGGAGCAGGAGGTGACGCGGGTGGCGGTGGCGGGGTGCCCAGCTGACTCTCCTACTGCTTCTTATCCGTTTTGCGCTCCATCAAAAGTTTCATTAGGGTCGGAGTCACGAAATAGGGTCTGGAAGGAGAGCCTTCGTTTCTTTCTAAGTCTTCCACTAGGAGGGAGGAGGGCAGAGCGTCAACAGCGCAGCAAAGCGGTGGGAGGAGCAACATCGCCACCTGCTGCCCACCCGCTGCACAGCAACGCCAAACATCGCTTTTTTTAGATGCCATCAGCATCATTGTAAACAGCTATGGAGAACGATCAGCCCTTGTTAATACATCGATAAGGTATCATTTCATTCCGTGTCCCAGGTCAGTTCTGGCGAAAGTTCAAGCCTTTCCATGGAATGACTGAGGAAACAACGTTTACTCCCCACCCAAATTTACTCTCTAAATTACAATGTTTCCAAATTGCCTTTGTTTTTCCAATGACAACTTAGAATGTAAAACCTTGACAAAGTGGTCTTTACAATTAATTTCAAAACCTTCCACGGACAGTTCTGAAAATATTGCTCTGTGTTTTAAAAACTTTAATTGCTGTATAAGAAAATGGCTTCTAAAATTCTTCTCAGAAACAACATTCATTTTTACGCTACACATTTTAAGTACAGTAGTAAAAAACAGAGACTATTTTTCTGGGGAATACACCACAATACATCAAAACGATGGCCAGTTTCTCACAACTGATCTATCGCTAATTTTTGTGTGTATCTGGATCAAATATCTTATCACGACCCAGAGAGACGCCCACATCCAGACAAGAGACATCTGCGGCTGCAGCTTCACTAGTAAATGCCACATTCTTAAAGGTCTTTGTTGAGGTCCTTGCATGGTTGAAAACAAAATACTAATAAATTCAAGAAAAAGATAAACGATCACTTTTCTCTCCTTTATCAAAGAAAGAAAGAAGGCTCTTTTCCAAGTGACATTTGAGACTGAACAACCTCAATAAAGTAGACAAAGCACAAGCCGCTGGCTGTCATGTGGACGACACACTGAAAACTTTCTGAAACAATTGGCTCTCTGTAGGAAGTCTCCATAAAACAGTTCTAAATCTAGACCCGCACACTTCAGGATTATTAAATAAATTAGCGTTTATATTAACTTATAACTCAAGGATATATTTCCGACTCTCAAGTGTGAGGGCCGTATTGATATCCACACATTCCATTATTAATATATAGACAATCTGACATGAGTTTAGCATCAAAACCAAACGGGCACTGATTAGTCATGTGATTTTTGGAGGGGCTTTAATTAGCCATGTGGCCCACTGGTCCCCTCCACACACAGGAAAGAGCAGACAGGTGTATGGGTCCAGTTCACCATGTGACATTTAGGCACGGCCACAACAAACCAGCTTCCTCTCTAAGCCCTTGGGGTGTGGTGTGGGGAGGAGATTTTCCAATTTGAACCAAGCACACCCTTGAAAGTATCAGATGTGGTACTTGACAGGAAGCCACTGGTCCATTCATTTCCTTAGAATAAAATCTGAATGAACCCATCAGCGTACTTCCCTCACTGAAAGTTGAACTCAGACCTTCTGCAGAATGAAGTCACAAGAACACAGGCATGTACCCGTGAAGAGGAGATTCCAAGAGTGACTGGAAACTCGGGCAAAAGGCAAGAGATGAACGAGGTAGCCATTTCCGCTCTTTCAAAATATTCTCAGGGTGGCCAAAGGCTCACAGTAATGGAAATGATGTCCCCAAACCTAGATTTGGCCCCAGTATGAGTCTCGTGTCTCTGAAACAGATGGACCACAGGGCCACAGTTCATGTCACCTGCAGCGATGCTAGCCATGGAACCCATGGGACCTGTGCTTCACATGCCTTGTCATGGACTCACCAGACTGAAATATGCTTTCTAGGGAACCAGGGTTACAAGCTGAATCACAGTTTAGAGAGCTGTTCACCAGCTTAAACAGTAACTATAACCATAGCACCGTATTTACAAATTTAGTGCCATATGCCGGCCAATTACAACTCGGTACGTTTATGGCTAATCGATCACACATTTATAGTGTTGTTAAAAAAAACTGCCTGAATATCCTTTACAAATATACACCTATAAAAAAGAAAGGCTAGCAAAGTTATAAAAGTTAGTAAAACATTGTCAGCTGCAGGTTTCTGCAGTTGGGACCACAGTCTAAAAAGAATGTTAGGCCACTGTCAAACGCCTGCTCCCTCCAGTGGTACCAACTGCAGCCTTTTCAGAAACAGCACGGAATTTGCACCCTGCTCCAAAGCAACGTTTTCACATTGCAATCAACCTAATTCACAAAGCTCCTGCTTGGAGCTTTTCTACTCAGTCTGTCTCTGGGGACCTGGGCGCTTCTTGGTGAGAATCCTGTGCAGGCTGGGGGTTACAAAGTAAGGCTTCTCTGCCGAGCCGTCGTTTCTCTCCACATCTTCACCTGGGTATTAGGAGCCAAGGCAGGCGCCACAGCACAACAGGACCCAGAGGGTTACAATGTGGAGTTGAACAGGGAGAAACCAGAGAAATCAGCGTTAGCATGTCAAACAGAGGCAAACGGAGGCGATGCTGGTGGTGGAGGAGGCGCGAACTGGCCTCTACCCCTGGATACACCTCACACCGCACCCCTGGGCCCTTGGATCCCTGGATCTTTATCTCCACATTTATATGGAAGCTCTTCCTAGGGTTTCTAAGGTATCACCTTTCAGCTCTGTGACTTTTCACTTTCATTACATCACTGACTCCATGGAAAATGTAGAGCAAAGATTTAATTTCATAGGTCAAGCATTTTTGCTTTTGAGATAAGCTCTTGCTATCTAGCCCAGGCTGGCCTGGCATTGGCAGTTCTGTTGAAGGAGCTGCGGGTTGCATTCCTGCCACCCTGCTCCCAGCCGCCTGGCTAGCTTATGCCCCGAAATAACAACACACAAACTGTATTCATATAAACACTGCTTGGCCCATTTCTATTCATGTGTGTAGCACCCCAAGGTGCGCTTACAGGGAATATTCTAGCCTACGTCCATCCTGGGTTGGAGCTTCATCGCATTTGCTCCAGAGAGGAAAGCTATCGCATCTGAGCTCACTTCCTCTTCCTCCCAGCATTCTGTTCTGTTTACTCCACCCACCTATGTTTTAACCTATGAGGCCAAGCAGTTCCTTTGTTAATTAACCAACGACCTTCTCTCACCCCCCCTTTTCTCTCTATTTCTCTCATCTCCCACAACAGAACTAACAAGCGTATACAAGTAATAATCTCCTCCCAAATAAATGCTGCTTTGCATTTGAGGCTAGGTAAAGCAAATCACCAAGCCAGGTGGCAACTGAGTTTTCACCTTCTCATCTTTTCGTTTTCCACAGGACAAATGTACATGGTAGATACTCACAGAAGCAGACGAAAATGGTCTCAACACACATTGAGTAGACACTGAAGCACCCATGAGCAATCAGGTAAGATCCAACCACCAGAGTCTGTGAACAGACAGAGAAGAGGTCCAGTACATGGGACTTTGTTCATACTGACTTCACTCAGAACAATAATAACACAAATGCAAATGGAGGCAGGATAAGCAAACATTGGCACACTCCGTGTTGGGAACATCTGCAATATAGACACCTTTGGCTTTATGGTGCATGTTGTCCTGAGATTACAAAAACATGTCCTTGTTCACATGCCCACTGATATTCCTAGTGCCTACCCAAAGAATCTCAGTTTTGAGTTCCCGCATCAAGGCAGGAGAGTCTAGAGGTTAAGAGCATATGCTACCTAGGTCCTCAAGTTACTCAGCCCCTCTGTGTCTCTGCCCTGACCTCAGGGAGAAGCATTTATGTCATACAGATTAGGAGAGCTAGCTCATTGTGCTGGGTCTAGCAGGACTCCACTCGGGTCTCGGCCGAGTTGTCCATCCTCTCATCCTCAGTGACTGGAAATGTCGGCTGCAGAGAAGATTCAGATGCTTCACTGCATAGACATCCACTCCCTTCAGGGAACCACTTCGTCCAAGTTAGAGTCCCATATGGGGGATCAGCTCCTGGCTAACATTGCCGGCATGATTCACAAGGCCAGCTTCTTTTCCAGAAGGTCCTGTCACTGTATCTGGGGATACAGCAGTAAGTGTATTATGGGCTGGCTTCTCTTGCTCTGCCTAGTCCTCTTTACTTCCTTATGAATGTAGCTCATGGAAGAGTACCCAGCAAACCTTCTGCATGCAGCCCTATCAACAGAGCAGTCCTTTCCAAGGAACCCGACATCAGAAGCAGGAGACAAGTGACACAGACTAAGGCCGGTAGTACTTGCTGTCTTTGCTGTTTCTGTCTCCTTTTGCTTTTCTTATGCTTCCAGCTCTTACTAATCATGGCATCACTGATGCTAAGCTTCTATAGACTGAACTGCTCCCTGTATCTTACATTAAAACTACAATCCCCAATGGGGTAGAACTGAAGAGAAGGGCTATGGGAAGAGCTATGGGAAACATGTGTATGAGGTCACAGTGGGAATACGTCTATGTGGGGATCGTGCCCCTCTACAAAGAGACTGGGTCTGCCACCTTTCTCTCCAGCTTGTGATGTGAAGAATCAACCTCTTTCCCAGCTGCCACCTCCAAGCCTTTCAACTTGGGAGGAATAGATCTATTGGTGAAGTCACTCACCCTATACTGCTTTGTTACAGTGTCCCCCAAGTGACTAAGTCACCAGTTCTTACCAGGAAAGGTACCCAGTAGTAATTTAAAGTCGTCGGTCCTTCTACAATCCTTTCCAGCCTCTCTGTGAAGAGTAGGAAGGCCAGGATACCTACATGAAAAAGCAGGACATGGATATCATACACTGAGAAAGGATATCGGTATTTTTGTGGCACAGGAGTCTCCAAACTCCTTACAGCTTTGAATCTATGTTGTTATCACTACTCACCTACAATCCCAGACACTAGAATTTTCCCCAGGAGTAATACAAAGTGTGTGACTTCATCTGTAACTGCGACTCTGTGCGTCAAGAGGAAACAAGAAAGTATAACTCAGTGTTTGAAATCTACACCAGGTAATGAGTCACAGGTTCACTTTCCTGTGTATTTGATGAAATTTTATTTGGCAATTGTTAAATGCAAGACAGGAGCATGGGAGCCAGGCCTGAGGTTCTTATTTCTAATGAGACTCATAGACGAGGACACTGGAATGATGTCCCTGTAGGATGATGAGCAATGAAGGTGTCTGGTTCTCTCTCTATTCCCTAAGGTGATAGACCAGCTTGACTCCATCTTACAGATGGAAGCCATTTTGTTGTAAGGTCAGAACAAGTCCATTTCTGTTTGCTGCAAAATTCAAGTTGATTTTGCTTTTAACCTGTTTCTGGAATTTAACATGCTCCCAACACCCTGATAAGATGTTCTGCCAGATAACTTTGAAATGTTCAGCCAAGCTCCTACATAACCAAAATTCCTCTGGAAATCCTCCAACTCTTGAAAAACCCTAGTCTTGCAGCTTTTTAAAACTATATAAACCCCACCTTCTCCTGTGTTTGATGCTATTTTCTCAAACCTCACTTTAGGAGATAGCCCTGTCTGATAGAGCATAAAGCTTGTTAATTTGATCAAAGAACTTGGGTAGTGGTCTTCACTGTCATCTGGTGGGAGTAGCGAAGGCACCCTGGATCCTGAGTATGGTAAATTTATTCTCCGACTCTGCACACCCATTTCTCAACAATTTTGAGAGGAGGAAATGGGCACCAAGGAGATGCTAACGTAAGCCACCTGGAGAACTTCTTGAGCAGAAAAGACAATAAAAATTAACTATGTAGCCTCCTAGGTGGATGAAGGGAACTGTTGATTAAAATCTATCAAACTGAAAGGCAACATCCATGGCTGCTAAGGCCAGCAACACCCTGGATAACTACAAGTGAAGAATGTCAAGTCTCACCAGATTGTCTATGGTCGTCCTCAGCCTGATTACTTACTTCAAAATGTTTCTCATGAGCAGATAGAAAGCATCTTTTGTTGACTCACAGAAATTTTTGCCATATAATGCGATCTGAAGAAGATGGTTGACACTCTTGTTAGTGGCATAAACAAACACCTCCCAGGACAGCCCAGTTCACCGCCATCTTCCACACTAGCAACCCTGACTTCTTTCCAACATTTAGGTTAGTAGGATGCCTAGGAGCTCTCTGTCCTTGACCCCACTAATAGACTTGCCAAGTGTTGTATGTAGGGGCAGGCCTTTTCCTCAAGTCTCAGATGAGGGAATCTATCTTTGAAACATTTGACTGTAGTAGTTATTAAATGGACTGAATATTGTCATCAAAATAAATTATTCCTAAGGAAAGCCAAAACCTTCTATCTCCTATGAGAATTTGCCGATTAAAAGGCTCAGTACTATCTCTCACTGTGGGTAAATTAATCGCATCCCCATCCCTGACCATATGAACCCAGCCCAGTCCCCACCACACTGTGAGAATAAACAAACATGGTAAAATAGTGCAGTTTCCACATTTTGAGGGAGTTGTGTTTCCTGAGTCTACTGTGTAAACTCAATTCCATAGAGGCTTGCACATTCTCATAGGAAATGAGTTAGAGATTTGCCCAAGCCTTACCACTGCTTACTCTTCTTTAATACAAAGTTTGTTAAAACAATCTCTTCCCTAAAATTATGTAAATCCCTCTATTAGAAAGGTGGTTTCTTTTTTGAAGGACCCAGGGACAAGAGCTTCCCTCTTACATAAGTTTTAGACACACAGCACTGTTTCAATCTACCACACTTTCATTTTTGTTTAACATTTTAAAGTCTAATTACATTTATGTGTGTGTGTGCATGTGTGTATTTGTGTGAGAGTGTATGTGTGTATGCTCACTCGACAGCTTGCCTGTAGAAGTCATTGCAGGATTTGATTCTCTCCTTCCACCCTGTGGAACCTAGGGCTAGCTTGGCTCGTCAGGATTGGCAGCCAGCACCTTTATCCTCAGAGCCGTCTCTCTGGGCCTCTAGCACACTTTGAAAATTTCAACAGAAGCATTTCCCCTTAAATGAGCTATCAAAGGTAGTAACATCTCAGGAAAAGTGTAGCCCTGATTCAGGCGTGGAATCACATACCCACAAAGTCAACCACAAGATACCAGAATGCTCTCCAGGCAGTAGGGCAGACATGAGGTCAGCTGAGCAAAGCAAGGGCACCATAAACAAGCAGTGGCCTACTTACCATGATATATGCATTTCTGTTTAAAAACTTCACCATCTTTTCCAAACACCAGAAACAGCACCGCAGGCAGCACTGGAGGAACTTGGAAATACTGTTCTGTGCCTCTGTGAAGGGGTGTATGAGTCTGTTAGCGACTCTCAGCCTTCAGACCCAAAAGGAGGACATTGGAAACAGAGTGGAACTTTTTACTGTGATGTATTCCAAGTTGACATTTCAGCCATTCTTTGGTATATAATTCAGTGGCTTTAGCACCTTTACAGCGTCATAAAATAATCTCACTAGCCATTTTCAGAAATGCTTGTTAAATCAAATAGATATCAATGGCCAATCAAAAGCCACCCTTCTCCATTCTCCTCATATTTTACTTGCTGGCAGAAAGCTGCTTCTCCTAGGAATTCTAAGTAGGATGATACAAAGAGGGTTCTTTTCTACCTGGCTGCTCTCACTTAGCACAGTGCCTTCAAAATCGACCCCTTTATTCCCTTCTGTGCACTAACATTGCACCGGAAGTGGAACGCACTCCTTACCCTGTTATTAGCGGACACGTGAGTGGGTCACATCCTTTGGCTGTGGTAGATACTTATCACGGATACTGGGGAGCAATGTGAGAGTTGTTTTCTGGGTTTCTATGAAATGATGTTTTTAGCATTTTACATATTGTAGCTGTTTCCATGGTGGCTGTACCATGACACATTTGTATGAAAGGGTCCAGCTTCTCTATCCCGCACTCTATTCACGGCCGGTTTGTTGCGGTTGCTCTGACGGCCATCCTGATGGGTGTGTGGTGGCATCAGGATGTGGCTTGGTTTGTAGGTCCTGTATAATGACTCTGTGTCCTTACAGTCTTAGTTGAGCGTTCTTGTCTATAGGGGAGGTCTTCTCAACTCCTTGGGCCACCTTTGGACTTTCACTGCTTGCTATCGAGTGACAGGAGTTCTGCTTGTGTTCTGGAGACGAGCCCTTCAACGACCTGGCATATTATTTGCAACAATTTTCCTCCACTGTGAAGGTTGTCTCTTTACTCTGCCCTTCCTTTCATGCACAAGTGTTTCTAAATTTCATGAAGTCCCATTTGCCTTCTCTTGCCTTGTGTTTTGGGTGTAAAATCAAGAAATGGCCATATCCAATGACATAAAGATTCTTCTTTTCGAAAAGTATTATAGCATTATCCCTTGTGTTTAGATCTTTGCTGTGTATTGGGTTAATTTTGTATTTACTGTAAATATGGGTCCAGCTTTATGTACTCACATGTGGGCGCTCCGATGTCTCTATCACCTTTAGACTGACTACTACTCTTTCCCTATCAAACAGTTTTAAATGTGAGAATTTATGTGTGGGATTCTCATGTTATTCCAGGTGTATATGTCCACTTGATTGCCAAACCATCCTGCTTTAATGCTATCATTTTATCTAAAATCAGGAAATTCAATCAGGAAATAAGAGCTCCAAATTTTTTTCCCACTTCATTATTTTTTATGACGCAGTGTGAGCAGAGCCTGTGTGTGCAGACTGCATGTGCTGTGTATGAAGACACGGTGTGAACAGAGCCTGTGTGTGTGCGGACTGCGTGTGCTGTGTTATTAAGACGCAGTGTGAGCAGAGCCTGTGTGTGCAGACTGCGTGTGCTGTGTATGAAGACACGGTGTGAACAGAGCCTGTGTGTGTGCGGACTGCGTGTGCTGTGTTATGAAGACACAGTGTGAGCAGAACCTGTGTGTGCAGACTGTGTGTGTTGTGTATGAAGACATGGTGTGAACAGAGCCTGTGTGTGTGCGGACTGCGTGTGCTGTGTTATGAAGACACAGTGTGAGCAGAACCTGTGTGTGCAGACTGTGTGTGTTGTGTATGAAGACATGGTGTGAACAGAGCCTGTGTGTGTGCGGACTGCGTGTGCTCTGTATGAAGAGTGTTGTCAGAGCTCACAGTGTCTTAAGCCTGGCAGATATGGAGCTGCCCCTGTGACATCTTACATGTTCCTCCACAGTAATATGTTAAGACAGAATTCTTTAATTCCTCTTTGAAATTTGCTTCTCTTGGACCCCACAAGATCAACCATGAGGACCCCAGACACTGCCTTCCCCTCCACTCACATCCCTCATCTTGGTACCCCATACTTAGCAAGTCCTGTTGGACTGTGTTTCAAAATATTCAAATCTCTACCACATCTATCCTCTCCACCCTGATCCACAATGTCACCACGTCACCTGCAGTACACCCTACACAACAGTCAGCACATCACCTGCACCCCATCCCACCCCACTCTTAGCAGGGAAATCTATGATCACTTCTGCGAGCTTACTTTTCAGCCGCCTGTCCAGGTACTCTAAGATCACTTTGAACATCTGGACTGATGCGAGGACCAATGATCCGAAGGCCAGGGACCCCGTGTGGTATCTAGGTGAAGACAAAACAGGGCATAAAATGAAGGGTTGTTCTGTATACACAGGTGCCTCTCAAACAGTTCCATGGATAACAGGGAGGGACAAAAGCAGGGCTTCTTGTAATCTCTTATTCAAACTGATAGAGCTTTCCACAGAAAGTTTGAAAGCAATTATCCATATTGTCTCTATAACCCATAATATGCTCTCCTAGAAGGGGTCTTGGCCTGATCAATGGGGCCACAAGATAATTCTTTTGGTGTCCAACTGTATGCCCTATCGTCTCTGGTAACCTATGGGATTTAGGACATTAACGGGACACGGGATTGCAAAGCCGTGTAACTAGAGGCAACGAGCATCTACGAATCTCAAGTTGTATTTGCAGCTCATTAGTGCCTTTCCACTTGAATTCACTCTCCAAGCATAAACACCAGAGCACAAACTGTAGCTGAAGAAAGGAGCGTGGAGTTCAGTGCTGAGCTTACCGCACCGCTCGTCCGAAGGCAATGAAGAGCGGGTATTTCGGGATGTCCTGGGGTTTCCTCATGGCCCAGTAGTATGAAGCAAAGGCCCCCGCAAGAGTGCACTGACCCAACGCAATGACAAAGTTTATAAGCCAGAGGAAGGCAAAGAGGTTGTACATCTGGAAGGTCATGATGTAATTGTGATACTCATTCTTGCCACTGTAGGAAGCGAAGTTACAGGATGCCCCGGGGCAGACTTTGGGAATGTTAGTTTCAGGGAAAATCTGTGCTCAGAAGAAGATACGAGAACATGGCATTAAATGTGGGTCTTATCTTTCCTTGTGGCTCCCCAGCTGTCCGCTTTTCATTACTTTTGGTTGCTACTTCTCTGATATATTAACCGATGGAATTCTGTAATGAGTTCTGGAAAGGGCTGGTTTCAATCCATGTGCACACACCCCTCTCCCTACTGTACTTTTACACATTATTTGTGCTTTCATTGCCACAGCAGGCTTCCTGGATTTACTGCAGAAAAGCGAGCTCTGTTCCACCTGCTACATCCAATGCTTTCCTGACGACCCCTCCCTTTCTTTCTGTACCAAGTTCCCCTGCATCTGTTTCATGATGTGTGGTAGCAGAATTCTTTTACTCACATCTGGGTCACAAGTTTCATCTTCATAGATACATTTCCCCTCTGGGACCATAACTTTGAATATTGGTACTCCTGATGTAGCCAAGAAACTGAACAACCTTGATTAAGGATAAACTATTTACTGTTAAATTAAAGATAAACAGATAAGAAAACCATAATCGGCAGACTGTGGAGGAATGCGCTTTAAAGGCCTTTTCTTCCCATGTTGTACCGATCATCTTCCCAGGAAGCTGATACTAGTGCATCATGGGCCAGATGCACTGACAGGGCCCTGACAAACCAGTGAGAGATGGAGGATACTGCTTAGTTATTGCCAAGAATAAGCATTAGAACAGAACACATATCTGTGACTTCTTTAGGGGGAAATTAAATTTGATCGACAAATTTTTAGGTTTGGAACCTAATCCAGTTACTTCTTTAGGTTGTTCCTTGTCTTCACAGGAATGAAAAACCCTGGGTGTGAGGTCTGGTCTTGAGTAGCAAGGTGGACTCCAGAGATAAAGAAATCCATTATGGAGAGAGGGGAGGAGGGTCGGGGAAGGGAAGTGGGAAGGCACTTATGAGCGAAGGGCAATCACACACACACACATATATATCAATCATATATCTACATATACATATATGTATGTGTGTCATGATGAAATCTATTATTTACACACATATCAATACATACATATCAATCATATATATACATACACATATACATATATGTGTGTGTGTGTGTGTGTCATGATGAAATCTATTATTTTACACATCAACTTAAAAAGGTAACAGCAGAGGTCAGCGGCCAAAGGATACACGGCTGTCACCGCCCAGTAGGAGATGCAGATGGACAGCAAGATGAAAGTTAAAATCGGGTACATCAGCGTGCTGGGGATGTAGCCGATGGCCCTGAAATGAAGCCAACAGTTGATGTTCAGCAGGAATCTGGATCGGATCTGCACGCTCTCAATACCCTGCACGCTCTCGATACCCAAATGTTCGTGTGTAAAGAACTAGATGCAAGCCTTAGACTGGATTTCTGAAACAGTGCTAATGGTCACTGATAATTTTCTTATTTTCTTCAGCGGTGGTCGTAGCAAGTCCTGAGCTGGCTTTGACATGCATTCACACATTTTAAAGAGGGGTGTTCCCCAGTGCTGAGGTCAATTCCTGCACTAGACTTCCACTCCCCTTCCCTGCTGAGCAACCAGCAAGGTTTTGACAGACCACAGCCCTGTGATGTCTTCTTGTTTAGACTCTTAGCTTCCTAAAGTGAGAGAAGACCTTCAGGCCTTCTGTTACAGTGTGAGATTCCTCTCCTGATTCAGAAACTTCTGTGCTGTGTTCCACACTGCGCTGGCCTTTGCTGCAGGCACCGCGCAGGGAACTATGATGCGGTTCATGCCATCCTACGGAGAGTCAGACAGGCCTTCCTCATCTGCCCTCTGGCATCTCACATCCACCACTTCCTGGGGAAGAAATGATTGTGTTATCACCCCCACAACACAGGAACCCGTTCAGCGGGTTTTCCTTCTAGGACATTTTACCACATGACGGTTTGCCAAATGTTCCCAGCTAGACTGTCACTAGCAGCTTTTAAGAAGTTGCTCCAGTCTCTGTCTCCAGATTGAACACATTCCTATTCTGTATTGCTAAGGAAATCTCCCTGCATCAAATGCACCTGCACACATGCCCCTCCCTGTCCTGTCTCACACCAGAGCTCTGCTGCCTTCCCTTCCTGCACACTTGGAATTTAAGCTGTTAATTCAAAGTTTACTCTGAACTCTGACCCATTTATTCCTGCCCTTACTTCCCCTTTGACAATCTATCAACCTGTCGCGGTGATGCTGGCCCTTCAACACCGCACACACTCACGTACACACCACACAGTTGCACACACACGCACCACACACGCTCACTCCACACACTCACCTACACATGGAAGGTTGTTAGATGTGCGTTGGGTTATAGTGAACTACACGATAACGTACCATTTAAAAAATACACCCAGAAAATGAGTAGTTTCAGGGGATAATGACAGGGCCTCCTTTATTGTAAGGGGGAGAGTTTAACCAGCAGCTTGTTAGCTGTTAAACCACTGGCTTCGGGTGGCACTATGATTATAATAATATGGCAATTTTGTTAAAATAGTCCTTAAAGACAATTAAAAATAATTCTGCCCTCGGTGGTTAACAACTTTGTTTCTACTATTGTAAGCAGAGGATCTGTGGCTTCCTGGGGTGAGTTTTCCCTGCTCCTCATTCAAAACCTGACTGCACAGAGTTTCTCAAGTGACCATTTGGAACAGTCTGGAGACTATAGATATTATTGGATCTTATAAAAGATGGTTTATTTTGTAACATTTTAAAAATGAGAGTGGCCCTGGGTATTAAGTGTGCCTGAATTATGTGTTTCTCATACAGAATGTATAGTCAGGCACTCAGGAACCAGCACTTTGTCCACTAGGAAGGCGTATCATGCACACACAATGCACAGCACACAATTGATATCATGGGATTACAGTGATTAGGACTTCTGCAAATTCTCTCAATCGGTGACATTAACACACGTGCCACCATGGGATAATGGGACACATGGTACCGCCAACCCCATCTGTACTTCATGACTGACATTCTCCTAGCATGTACATGTTCACATGTGTCTGTGCACAGGCTATATAGATTCTTAGTTTGCACTGTGGAATGAGAGACAGAAAGGACAGAAAAGACAGAAAGGTGACCTTGATGCCAGTAAGTGGAAACATCTGAACATAAACACGTTCTTAATGTTCTTTAATTTCTTCCTTAAGAAGTCCTGGTGGTGTGGGTACTGCAGGGAAGATGGTCCATTTGCTGAAGGTTTGCTGTGCAGCACAAGGGCCCCCCACCGCAGCCCGACACCTGCCCTGAGCACTGGCTGAGCCCCTCCCCCACCCCAGCCCGACACCTGCCCTGAGCACTGGCTGAGCACCTCCCCCACCCCAGCCCGACACCGGCCCTGAGCACTGGCTGAGCACCTTACTTGCTTCCTTCCTCCAGCATGACGATGGCTAGTCGGATTCGATTCCTGAGGAAGATGAGCACGATGATGAGGATGGCCTCGATGACGGACAAGATGATCACTGAACAAGAAAAACGGCAGTCTGCAGTACAAGTCAGCGCCAGAAGCAAGCTTATTCTGCAAACCTAGGAATGGGCTTAGCAGACCATTTCTGCTAAGGGCTTACTGGCATTTTCTGAAACTGTTGTAACAAAGGCATGTGTTAGAATTGGGGGTGGGGGAATATAACAAGACTGTTTGGCCTCAAGAAGTTTTGAAGCAGATTTGGCTAGCAGATAAGGAAAAAAATGGAGCAAGAGAGGAGGTTTCTACTAGAATGAAGTGGTCCTGGCTCACCCACCTCAGGGAGGAAGAAAGGTATCTGGGCTTTTCACCTTTCCTTGTAGCTAGGAAACTCCCCGGAGAGTAAGAACAGCACAGAACTCAAGATGTCCCCACTGTATGGTCCTTTTTTACACACAGGCATTTTATTCCTTAAGACTATTTTCTTCACCTAACAGCATCAGTAGGGGCAGAGTTCTATGATTTTCAGCCCACGAGAGTTATAAATCTCAATTCAGCACTGAAATGGATTCTCTTTCTATGTTGTGGTTTCTGTTTTCTGAGGCAAGGTCTCTGGCCAGTCTGGTTCAGAACAGCCGTGGCCAGCTGGTCCTCTGCTTCCCCTTCTGTGTTTGCTGTTCTGTCTATCCCCACTTTGCATGGTGCTGGGTGTCATTCGGGGACATAGTCTCGCCTGCCCTTAATACTGAGTTTCTCGGACGAAGAGGCAGAAACAGGTTTGGAATGTACAGAGACGAGGCTCTTGCTGAGGATAACTGTGTGATCAGGTGATGCATACACGCTTCTTCCTACTGAGTTCCTCTGATATGTCAAGGCCGATAGGAATGAAAAGAAGGGAAAATTTCAAAAACAGAATTCAATGAAAAACTGTCAAAACCTAGATTCATGAACATGAATCTCCAATTATAGAAACATAAGACTGAAACTATCTTTGAGATGATCTTGCTTTAGAAATTACTGCCAACCTTAAGTAATTCAATAATGTGAACAGTTAAGAATGTAAATCCATTTTCAGTTATTTCTCGCAATTCCTGCAATAATCGGATAAAAGCTTCTGCTCTGCGAGTGAAGTAAGTGTCCTCTTTCTTTTAAAGTAAGATCACGAAAATCAGCCATTTCTTTCTTTGGCAGGCTAACATCAATCAAGTCCCCATAATCAAACCATTTCAAATTAAAGGCAAGTGGCCTGGAATTCCTCTAAAGCTGCGCTATCTTAGGCTACACAGTATGTTCACAATTTCCCACTCATAACTCATAGACATCTACAGTCGTCACTGAGTGACTCATGTGTTAAGCAGGATGCACCAAGCTCAGGCTTCTCCGTTGTTAATCTACTCACTCATCGAGAACCATGTCTGCTTCAGCTGGAAGAACATGTTTATGCTGCTCTGAACTCCGATGTCGTAGATCAGGATGGTGGACTCTGGTTTCTGCTGGAGGACATCGTACTCTTGATAACAGAACCATATGCCTTGGAAGGAAAAGACCAATATCCAGTGTTATTTTATGAAGTAGAAGCTACATGCTTACCATACATGCCTACATAAAAATGATCAATATGGCCGTTTCTACAGAGTTAGAATCAGGCTTGGCTGCAATAGACCAACTGCTGCTCTGGTTGACATAAATGTTTCCTGAATTTATGTGGCTTGCAGTGGGCTCCTGGCTCATAGCAACCTTAGCATCCACGAACAGGACTGTTTTAATATTGCTACAGTACATCTGTCTTGCAGGAAAATGGACCGACACCCCTTATTTATACTCGGTACTAATATCTTATTTATTGGCTTATTTATCTTGTGTACTTCCATGAATCATGAGAGTATTTTAATAGATGCACTCAAGTTTAGAATTGGTTTTGTTTTAGTGAATTGGGCCGGGCCTGCTCCTAATAACTTTATTTCAAATTCTATTTGGTCTGATGTTATTATACTATTATAGATTTCTTTTTATAACTGCTAGTTTTTTTAAATCAATTCTTCCACTTTTAACTGTTGTGTTTCCTTACACATTCTGTATAGTTCGTAAATAACATACAGTCCCAACTTGTGTACATTTTAATCTGACCTGATTATCTCTGTTCTGTTTTTATTTACATATATTCTCTTTCTTCTAGCTCATTTATTTTACAGGATCTTTCCTGCTCCTCCCGCTCCCCACCAGGACCGAGACTGAAGGCTGCCAGGGAAAGAAGTAGATTTTTCCCGTGCAGATCTTCTCAAAATAATGACAGAAAGAGTCACGGAGAAAATAGATGTGAAACTAAATAAATATTGTAAAGTTAATGACCCAAACTAGTTAAGTCTAAGGCAAGCAAATGCTTTCCAATAACTGCTAATGACAAGGAAAGTTATTCTGAGACTTGGCGATTTTAAGGGTTGTGTTACCTACCATATCCTATAATTCCAAGCACACCAAACGTGAAGAGCCAGAAGAGGAATCCAGCTATGTACCTCAGGAGTATCAGAAAACTGCAGCTCAGTGCCATAGCGATGGTCAGGCCACTGGAGGTAAAAACCACAACAAACAGAGTCCAGATATACATATATGATTATATTATATATAATTGTAAATATATATAAATAATTAATACAATGTCATCAGGTGTCTCTCATGCTTGTAATCTCAGCACTTGGAAGGCTGAAACTGGATGGAGTTCAAGACTTTCCTCCGTGATTACACAGTGAGATTTAAGTCAGTATAGACAGACCGCAGCAAAATACTTACATATTTTTGTGTGCGGTGTGTGTGTGTGGTGTGTGTGTGTGTGTGTGTGTGTGTGTGTGTGTAGTGTGTGTATGTGCGCACACATGCAGGTACCCATAAAGACCAGAAGAGATCCCTTGAAGCTGGGGATACAGGCCACTGTTAGGAGCATCTTGTGAACAGAAGCGTAGGTTTCTGCAGGAGTAGCAAGTGCTCTTAATCACTGAGCCATTTATCCACCCACTAAGAAGCTGCCTTTAAAATAAAATGACATGTAAGGCTAATCAAGGAAGACAGAGGTGAGCTTGAGACACTGTGCTGATGTGATTATAAAGTACCTTGGAGTCACTAACGGGGCACTGATTTTATTCTCTGGTCACTAGGGAAACACAGAAGCTTCTCAACTCTGGAAAGTGGTGCAAAGGTCGAGAGGACAGGTTTACACACCAGACACGCCTGTGTCAGGACAATCATCCCACGTGTCAACCGTCCAAGTGGTGCAAAGGTAGAGGACAGGCCCACACACCAGACACGCTTGCCTACGTTAGGACGGACATCCCACGTGTCAACCTTCCAAAACACCAATCTTACTTGTGAAAATTTAAATCTCTACCTTTGTATGTATTTTAAGTTTCTCAGAACTAGAATAGCCTTCGCTAAGAATTACTATCGTGTGTGAAAAGAGCACAGTAAAGATTACACATGAATTCAAACCATGCCCACCCCCTGACCCCAGACACAGTGGCAGGGACTTGGTACATGTACCAATTCTACTAGTGAATTAATATGTGAGCTTGAAACTTATGTTCTCATAGGCATATTTTCAAATTTATCTGTCTTGTCCTTACCCCTACATGAAAAAGAAATTTACCCTGAGGACTGAGCCCACTTGTGACCGTTTAGTAGGAACAAGGAGGTTGACGAGTCTATAGAGGTCATCAAAAAGCATCTAGAAGCCGGGAGGTGGTGGCGCACACCTTTAATCCCAGCACTCAGGAGGCAGAGGCAGGCGGATCTCTGGGAGTTTGAGGCCAGCCTGGTCTACAAGAGCTAGTTCCGGAACAGGCACCAAAGCTACAGAGAAACCCTGTCTCGAAAAACAAAATAAATAAATAAATAAATAAATAAATAAATAAATAAATAAAAGCATGCTCAGTCCACTCACATGAGGATCCATTTCCACGAGGTCGCGTAGTCTTCAAACACCTTCAGTCCGATTGTCCTGGCATCAAAGATTTTACTGATGCCCCTGAAGGAAAAGTAAATTATTTTCGTTAATTTTCAAAAAAAAGTTCTTATAATAAAAAATATTTTTACAAGATTCTCTTCAAGGGTGCTTTCAGAGAGCGTCTGCTATAGTGACCCCTTCACTAGCCCCAACAGCCTATCAAATGACATTTCAAGACACTTGCAAGCGTAGCTGTAGTCCCATATACAGAGGAGCTGGCCATCCAAAGCAGGAGGAATCCTTACACAGCTCACACTACCTGCTCTCAGTATAGCAGAAGCTCCCCTGTAAGAGGTACATTTAAATGACAGGATCTAATTTACAAAGTTTCTAGATCTGACCATGCATATCCCCATAATCCCTCTTCCTGCATCTCTGTCATGTGGTAGCCAGATGTAGATCATGTGTCCCACCTGGTGGGTGGTCAAGGTCACTGTCAAATCCTCCCTCCCAGCCCCCATCTTAGCATGTCCCTCTTCCAAAGTAACCTGTCCCACCACTGTGATCTGTGTGCGTCACAGGACATCGACTTTTGCCATGTGTCTTGTGTCCGCGGAGTCATGTGTGTATCATTATTTCATCGGTTTCCATGCAGCTTCCTATCTCTGGGGTTCATTTACATTGCTATTACATTCTGCATATGAAGGAGGGTGCTGCGCCACCTGCACTCCCAGTGTCTTTTAAGGAAAGGAAATAAATTTCCAGGATTCCTTTGATTTTTCTTTTAACTCTGCAAGTGAGCAATGAAAGGGGAGCATCCACGTTCGCGCACGTGCGAATGGGCACACAGCCAAGGAGACGTATTTCTCAACAATCCAGACTACTGTGTGCCACGTACAGGCAAACAGACAGCAGGAAACGGACTGTGCTCAACTTGACTGTAGAATCTGAGCTGGCAACAGCACCCTTCTCTACACCAAATCTTCCTGCTTAACAGAACGTTAACCACTCTGAAAGACGCTATTCTTTTTTTTTTTTTTTTTTTTTTTTTCGAGACAGGGTTTCTCTGTGGCTTTGGAGCCTGTCCTGGAACTAGCTCTGTAGATCAGGCTGGTCTCGAACTCACAGAGATCCGCCTGCCTCTGCCTCCCGAGTGCTGGGATTAAAGGCGTGCGCCACCACCGCCCGGGGATGCTATTCTTTCTAATCTAGAGCAGCACGCGTACTTTATTTAATACTGCGCAAGTGATTTCCTGTAACTCCAAGTGGTACTCTCATGCTTTATACAATAACAGGATGCATCGAAAGAACACAGAAATGTGGACATACATTGCAGCCTCCCTGAGCTCTACAATACTTCTGGTCTTCCCAGTTCCGTCTTCAATCTGCATCCTGCTTCCTACTGTTAAAACTCCGTTGACGGTCGAGAAGTCAGGCAAGCATCTCTGCAGGACTGTGGAAGAGAATGGAAAGCACAGCAAACAGCTTTTTACCAGTCTAGCCTTTAAGAACCCCCTGTTATCTGCATCGGGTTCTTGCTGGGTGTAAAATGTGCTCAGTGGAGACAGCTAACTACCCTTTGTTGACATCTTCAGGGCTTTCTGGTGGTCGTGAGACAGAAACGGAAACAGCATCACAACATGAAGTCACATCCCAACCTGTTGATATTTTGACACGTGAAAGATTCATCAAACTGCACAGATAAGGTGTGTAGGTGAAGGGACATGGGCTCAGACCACACATGCTGAGCGTGCTTTGAAGGCGAAGCTGCTTGCATGGTGAGAGGAGCTGAGGACTGGCACGTTAACAGGTTCTAGATGGGGGCCAGCATGCATCTTAGTGGTACAGAGCCTGTGTGGAGCCCTGGTCAGTCCTGAACACCGGATGATGCAGAAGGGCATACCTGCGATCCCTCCCAGCACTTGCGACGTGCAGGCAGGAGGATCAGAAGTTCATGGTCACTCTTGGCTATCTGAGATCAGTCTGGGATAGACGAGAGACTGTTTTGAAAATATTCTTTAAGTATTCGTCAGTGAAACCTCGGAAACTAGAGTTTAGTGGACAATTCCTGGAGGAATAAGAACCAGCTCAAGCTTCAAGCTCCCGTGGAGATGGGACGTCCAGTGGTGAATTCTTAATAACTGCCTCCTTGCCAGCAAAGTCACCTACATCTCATTGCAAGATGGAAACTATTGATGAAGGGCCACACTGTTTGATGTAATTTCTGAGAAGAGTGAAATCGTTACTTAGTCTTGTATGGTCTTGTTTTGGTTATATAGAGTCCTAGCCTCTCCAAACACATCACGTTAACGGTTACTGGAGAGCTCGGCACCAAATGGATTCTAATGTATTCCAGCCCCAATTTTAAATGAAGAGGTAAGAGAAATCAGAAATGAATAGATAATTTTTATATCTTCTTCTTGTAAGTAGTATCACTGATTTATATGTAGAGCTTGGACCTAAAATACTGAGCCAAGTGGTATAGGGAACAAGCTTCCTCATGAAGCTTTTCTTGGCTTGCCTGTCCATCTTCAGATGATGGAGCTGACTTCCTTCATAACTTCCCCATCTTTCTCCTGCTCTACCTCCCTTCTGGGATCTGAGACAGCAGCCTCTAGGACCCCTTCAGCTCACTCTCTACCAGTCAGAGCCTTGCTTCTGCCTCCCCACATGACCTCATCCTAGTCCTTCTGCAGTGGGGCTCCTGGCACGCAGTGGGGCCAGTATATTTCTTCTCTCTTGTTCTTTCTAGTCTTTTTGTTCCCATATACACTGTGAGTATAAGTTTTGTTCCTCTATATGTCATAAGTGTAAGTTTTCACCTAGAAAGTCCCCTGGCCTTATTTTATATATTCTTTCTGGTAATCACTTCCAGTCTGTTATGACCCGTTAATTAATATGCTCAGTATATATTTAGAGAATATGAAGAAAATTACAAAACGATACACTGTCCAGCCACCCACAGTGAACCATATGATTTTGCTGTTCCGTTTCTTTCTCATCTTTCTTCTACACCCCTTTTCGGTGCCAAAATAATATAGGAAACAGAATTCCTTTTTCGTCCCCCTCTCACGTAATCTTACTTTGTCTGCTGTTATAAAATATTAACGACTATGTGTTGTTAGTTGCACATCATGTCTTGTAGTGATATACTTGATTCTCTGTTAAGAGAACACAGCTGATTGTAATGTTGATCTTAATGTCTCATTATTTCATTAGACTAACAGAGGATATGGATTATGTATTTTTATATCCCTAATGTAGATTTTAAAACATGGGATTTAGTCAAAATCTAATAGTGAGAACAGCTATTTTTTTCCTTTTCCCATAAGAAGTTTCTATGCTGTTCTTGGCCACATACAAGCAGCACCTAGGGAATCCTGGGGTTGTTATTTCTCACCCGACCCACCTCTGCCTCGGGGTCTTTAGTGGACCACAGAGAGATGGTGGGCACTCAACACGTGGATTTCATGGCAACTAATTTAACATACTTGATTTCCTGCTTAGATTGGTGCCTATTGCCTTTCTCCTGCTTTAGAAGAACTATACACTCATTGTGGAAGAACTGGGGGACAGAAAACAGAAAGAGAGAAAATGCCCCGTGTTGTCTCCCTTTCCACACCCTCTGGCAAACAACTCCTTAATATTTTTGGTGTTCTTTCTGATCTTTTTCCTTAAATAATTTCTAGGATTTCTTTTAATTTCAATACATTTGACCTTATGATGTCTACAGCTGTTTGCATTTTACTGAATATCAACCCACATGTGTTTTGCTCTCTATTCATTAGTTCTAAGGTATGTCCTCTCGTGAACATGGTGGTTATTTCAGTGCTCGCTTGCCCCTGGATACTGCAACCTTCCTTTCTCCCCCACCTCCACCAGCTGTGATTTCTGAGCTCTGTACTAACAGTTCTCTGGCATGGTCTGAAGGAACACTGGGTTGAAAACCCTCCCATGAAGCTTTTCTCTGTGGTTTGAATTACATCGTTCAGAAAGGAAGAGGAGCTGTTATTTCAGTTTTCTGAACGGCTTATCAGTTTGTGCTCAAACAGCACAGAAACAAATATATATTCATCAGGGAAACAGAAGAACTTCAAATGTCAAATTATGAAGACAGGGCGTGCAACTTAGAAACTGCTTCTGGGGCAACTTCTGAACGTTCTTGGCTAAATTCAGGAGTGGGTGTGCCTGACTGCTTGTGTGGGCTACACACGCTTGGAGGGGTACGTAAGAGCACACTGGCAGGCTTCTTAAAATCAGTCCTACCGCCTCGTAATGTGCTCAGGTAGCAAAGCCCCACACCTCACTGAGCGCTGGGGGAAGCGCCCCAGTTGGAGTGAGGACAGTTGTGGCCAGAGACAATGCTCATGACTAACTCTGGGCTCTCAGGGTGGCACTGAACCCTGTCGGCTTCAGCTTATCAACTGAGGAAACTCAATTAAATTACAACGGTAAAATAATTACCACTTACAGGGTCTGCTTGGATAGACTGCTGGGGGACAGTCGCCATGGGACAGAAGATCTGAGAGAGACTGAAAGGGAAGGGGGCATGTTAACAATGCACAGCCAGCAACGACCACTTTCCCTCTCAATATCAAAAACTTGAGCTTGAAATCTTAACTCCACATCTCATTTTCCAAAATTTTCTCCCCACTGCCAGTAACTATAAGATTATTACATACAAATTCTTCTTGGAAAAATGCCTCTCAATGCTCTGAGTGAATCAACACAGATAAAATACCATGATCTTACAAAAAGCTTACATTCTGGATCTCTGACCCTTCAAAAAATTTCTGGAAAAAAAACAGCATTTCCTATAATTAATAAACAATTAATAGTATTTAATATACTAAAGCTTCAGAAACCTCCTGTGTATGTCAAATCTAGGAAAGTGTGAGCTTTAACATGTTTATTGCGCTGTTTTATTTAATGTGAGCACGTGTGTGTGCATGTGTATGTGTGTGCGTGTGTGTGTACATGTGTGTACTCCATGCATGCTAAGGCACACATGTGGAAGTCCCATCACCAGATTCTGTTTTCTCCTCCTACCACATGTTGGGGAGGGAATTCAGGTCAGGCGGCAAGCACCTTCCTCCGCTGAGCTGCCTAGCAGTATGGCTTCATAGCGATGACTCTGGATGCTAGCTCTTCTCAGCAACAAACCCATTCAGATACAGAAAGTCTCCCAGCCAGGGCTACCTAGGCACACTTAACAGTCTTTTCTACCCTACAAGTGTACACAGGGGTATGTCATGAATGGCATGTTCCTCTGTCTATACAGTGCATGCCCTGAATATTCTGTGTTTTGATACACCACTAACAGTATGTGCTTCTGAGTGTTCATGTGTGCTTGTGTTTTATTGGAATGGTACCATTAATATTCATTCTCTAGATCTGGACATTATTCCAGTAGCAAACTAGAATGTTCCACTGAAGGTCTAAATAGCAGCTAAGCTCCTTCCAGGAGTGAGCTTGAGTACACGCACCTTTGCCGGCCTGGCCGTGGCCTTGCAGAACTGGCGATAGTATTCCCAGTGGCTTTTGTCTTCTTTACTCAAAAACTGCATTTCCACGTAGGTTAGAAATTTCTCTGGGCACCTGGAGACACAGATCTGCAGGGCAGAAAAGCACAACGATGGGATGGATCGAGTAAACCAAGCAAATGCTTACACGGTAGGATGGGCTTCTCAGTTCCTCCCCAGCATGAAGAGTCAAGCATCATTGTCCAACTGACTTAAATCACATTTCTAGTTTTATTGTATAAAATTAAATCGAGTATAGACTGTTACCAACCTGTGCTTCCTGCTTTCTTGGTCTTGTGTTAAGACAAGAAATTGAACAGTAATAATAATTTATGCTTTGATTTTTAAATCAGCACACAGTGTGGAGACCACTGTAACATTTTAAATCAGCACACAGTGTGCTGGAGACCACTGTAACATTTTAAATCAGCACACAGTGTGCTGGAGACCACTGTAACATTTTAAATCAGCACACAGTGTGCTGGAGACCACTGTAACATTTTAAATCAGCACACAGTGTGCTGGAGACCACTGTAACATTTTAAACCAAGCATTTTTGTCCCTTTGCTCTCCCACCCCCTGCTCCTGCCCCCCTTGCCTTCCCCGATTATTTTCCCATTTTACATCCCATGTGGCCTTTCCTCACCTTCCATCCTCCTCATCACCTAGTACCAGCCTCTCTAGGGAAGAATAACTGTGAGAAGACCCAAACTCATGAGACAAAACCAGCATGTTCTCTGTCATATGTAGATTATAGTCTGTGAGACATAAAGTTTAAAAACTCTAGATGAATTTATTTTAACTTGATTTTTGATATAAATGCACAAATACTTGTGAGAAATAGAAGTGTCCACACACTCATCACTCAGGTTCCCCAGAAAGTAAGACTTTTCTTTTTTTTTATGAGTACTTTGTGTTCTTTTTTTAAAATTTATTTATTTATTAAAGATTTCTGCCTCCTCCCCACCACTGCCTCCCATTTCCCTCCCCCTCCCCCCATCAAGTCCCCCTCCCCCATCAAGTCCCCCTCCCTCATCAGCCCCAAGAGCAAACGTACTGGCTTTGGGAAGCCTAGGCAGTTTGGATGCTCACCTTACTAGAAAGTAAGGCTTTGCACACTGTAAGGTACACACTTGTCACTCAGGCTCCCCAGACAGTAAAGACTTCACACACTGTAAAGTACACGCTTGTCACTATCACTCAGGCGCCCCAGAGAGTAAGACTGCACAACGGTAAGGTAACATTACAGCCACTGAGTTCATTTAGATTGTACTAATTCTATATCCTTTTGGTGTGTGCCCGTGATGGAGAGTTCTGTGTGCACACTTGGGGGCTTTGGTCATAGAACAATGACAATTTTTAAAGCCCCTTTTAAAGGTTTGTTTTTTATTATTTGTGTGCACCGTGCACTCACGTAGGTGCACGTCAGTGTGTGCAATATATATGTATGTGTGTGTGCATCAGTATGTGCAATGTATACTCATGTGGGTGCACGTCAGCATGTGCAGTGTGTACTCATGTGGGTACACATCAGTATTTCAGTGTGCATACAGCTGTGTGCACGTCAGTATGTGCAGTGTGTACTCACGTGGGTGCACATCAGTATTGCAGTGTGCGTGCATGTGTGTGCACATCAGTATGTGCAATGTGTACTCACGTGTGTGCACATCAGTATGTGCAGTGTGTACTCACGTGGGTGCACATCAGTATGTGCAGTGTGTACTCACGTGGGTGCACATCAGCATGTGCAATATGTACTCACGTGGGTGCGCGTGAGTACTTCAGTGTGCATGCAGGTGCCCAGAGAGGCCAGACGAGCACAGGGGATTCCCAGGAGCTGGAGTTGTGGGAGGCTGTGTGTCACCCGACAGGGAAGCTGAACAACTGAACCCAGGTGCTCTGCAAGAGCAGCTATTTTCCCACCTCTGCCATAATTCTTTAATAGGACACTTTCTTATGAGTATCTGAATTAGTAGGAGCATAATTCAAGATTAATTATTCTGCAGTCTGTATATGTTCTAGGTCAGAGTCTTGCTTTGTTTTCCACACAAATAAAATGACTGAGGTTTTCTGACATTTGTTAACGTGCATGGGAAATATTCATCAGTGTGCTCACGAGGTCCCCATAATTGTGAAAATGTAGCTTTGTCACCATTAGACATAAGCAAAATGCAGATATTTGCCACAATTAATCACCAGGGAGGTCTTCTATCAACACTCTCTAGACATGGGCAAGAGAGGTCACCTGTGCAACCGTTTCACAGTCACAGACTTGGAGCAAGCATATCAGTGACAAACCAAGTTACTGTGGTCATCCATGGAGCCACGCCCAAATGACAGCAATACAACTGCAACTCCATAAGGAGAAGGCAGAACGGGGCGGGGGGGAGGGGGCTGCTGCACTTGCTTTTGCTTATGATTTTTTGATTATTTAAATCTACTTGTTTTAATTTTATGTGCCTTGGTGTTTTGCCTGCATGTATGTCTGTGCGAGGGTGTTGGATCCCCTGGAACTGGAGTTACAGACAGATGTGAGCTGCCATATGGGTGCTGGGAATTGAACCCAGGTTTTCTGGAAGAGCAGGAGTGGGTGCTCTTAGCACTCTGCAGCTGAGTCATCTCTCCCTGCTTATGGTTTCCAAAAGAAACAAAAGCCACATCTAACTGCAAGCGCTGCATCAACTCCTGTGCAAGAGCTGCATTAACTCCTATGCAAGAGCTGCATCAACTCCTGTGCAAGAGCTGCATCAACTCCTGTGCAAGAGCTGCATCAACTCCTGTGCAAGAGATGCATCAACTTCTGTGCACGTCTGCATCAGCTCGGCTCCTCTGTGTGGAAACCCTCCAGACCTAGCCTGTTCCATCATCTCCCATCAATCCTTCAATTACTATTTTTCACTTTAATTCCTTGACAATTTCATAATGCTTAGCAAGAATTTTCATGCCCCGTTAACTCTCTCTGTCACCTTCTTCCTGTCCCTGCTGAAGCTTCTCTTCTTGTACCTATGTTTTTGCATTTTTAGGACACACTAAGTTTAATTAGGTTTGCTTGCATGACTATTGATATGGGGTTATTTCATTTTTTATTTGTTTGGATTACCAGCGACTTACCAGTGACTACACTACTGATGACGACGACTCCCACCATGCACCCAGCCATCAGCTGCTAACAGTGGTTCAGGGAGGACTGAGGCTTCATGAATCCTCTCCCCCATTGTGATGGGACATTCACGGGTGACATCTTGCATATGGCTGCTATGAACTCATGGGTGCCATAGGCACGTTGTGCTCAGAAGACTGTACTCAGAAGACTCTCCATCCTCTGGCTCTTAAATTCTTTTTGGGCATTCTTCTGCCACATTCCTTGGCTCTTGCAGTAGTGACGTAGATGTTGTGCTTAGGGTGAGCGGTCAACAATAACTTATTCACAGCACGGTTATAGCTTTCGTTCTGTTTGAACGGCCTTACTCATCTGTGAACCCTGGGAGCACAACGCTAACTTGCCGGAAAGGTATGCCTACTGGTGCATTAGTACCATGGCTATTATGTGGGTAACCAGCTGTTTTCTGATGGATTTGACGCCTGCTCTATAGGAGGGAATTTATACTTGGTACTATAAACCTGGTCAAAAATGCATGGACAGGGACTACACAGACCCTAAGGGGAAGCTGCTACTGTTGTAAAACTGCTTTCTGAATATTTATATTTTTATATCCATAGATAGTAATGGTCTTAGCATTGTTTAGAGAAGTTTCTGTTTGCAGCAGATTATAGATCATGCAGAGACTTCTTACTGACTGACCCTATAGACAGGTAGGTGAAGCCACAGTTGCTAAGTAGGCAGCTTTCCCGACTTTTGCCATGTTTATCACTATCTACAAGTTCATTCCGATGGGAGCCACGCTGACTAGATCATGCACGTACTAGGAGAAACCTCAGAGACATAATGTGAGGGACTGCTTCTGGGACCCCACAATCCTACACTTCCAAACGCATGCACAATGTCTACTATGCGCACAAACTGGTGCACACACAACACATAAAAGAAAGTAATTAAAATGGAAAAAAGTAGTTTGTCAAAGAGAATCATGTCAAACTTCATTCCAAACACAAATCAGCTGTTGAAAAAAACAGTAACTGCCCTTTCTTCTCTCCCTCCATCAGACCACCTTTTCACTTCAAATGGGATGCTGATTAGAAGCAATCATCATATAATTAGCCAAAGAAGGTCGCACTGAGGCTGGGTATCCTAATTGATCCCGGTCTGTTCTTCAAGCGCCTGTGACACATGTCTGGACCATGCTGCCAGCTGACAGAAACAGAGCACATAGAATAGAGCTCTGATCTATAAATACACCATTGCAGAGCCAGTTGATGCGGGGTGCAAAAATTGCAGTTGCAATATATCCACGGAGTTGTGATCCCTACGGACTTCACGGGGCGCGTGCAGCATGATTCTCCATCACTGCTGCTACATCATCAGCTCAGGCGGGCTTAACACTGTTATTATGAACAAGAATTGGATGCTCCATTTGTGAGAATAATAAACGGCATTTTTGCCTTATCATAGGAACTTTGGTTTGTGTGGCACAGTGGAAAGAATAGGAAAGCATTCATTATTAATTTCTCCATTCGATAGATATTTATTGATCATTACTCTGGGTGTTCGAAGGTAATGTGAACACAGCAGGAAGTAAAACAGATGACAATCCTTACTCTCAAGGTGTTTGCCTTTGGATACAGGGAGAAGTACAATCAAACACTTGTTACAGACAGGGATGGTTGTGACTGAGGGCTAGAAGAGACTAGAGAGTGAGGGGTGGATGGAGGTCTTGGGCTTTTCAGTCAGAAAGCCCTGTCGCACAAGCTTGAGGACTTGAGTTACGACCCCTAGTACCATGTGGAAAGCCAGGAGCAGCATCAGGCCTGTGGTCCCAGAGCTTGAGGACCAAGCTAGAAGGTCGCTGGTAGCCTTTGGCTAGCCAGCCTAGCTGAATCAGTGGTTCGTTGAGAAATCCTGTCTCAAAAACTAAGGTTGAGAGAAATAGAGGACTCTTGGAGTCAGCCTCTGGTCTCACGCTAACACACACGCACATGTGTGCACACATGACCTCACCAAAAACATAACAATTATAGAAAGATTTGCATCTTGGTGGTTGATCCATGGAGCCATCTGGAAGAAGAGTACTCAGAGAAGTACTTCAACTCAGAGAAGAAAGTGAAGACGGCAGGAGCAGGAGCCTGCCTGCATCCTTCAAAGAAAGCAGCCCGCCAAGAGCGGTGTTTAGGTGAGCTTTATCTAGTGGGCTTATTTATTTATTTAACCTTACAGATCTTTCTGCTTAGAGGGGGATATGGGAACATCTTCTGGGGTGGCACAGGCTACAAAGCTTAGGGAAGCTAGCTGTGCCTCTTGATATTCAGAGAAAGGAAGCGTCTACAACCAGGGAAGCAGGTAACTGCCCAGGAGCTCAGCCAGCGACAGTTCCAGCCTATATGACAGGAATGGCCAGAAATTCCAGCGACAACCACCTTCCAACCACAGATCCCCTCATCAGATGACCTGGGAGAGGAGCCTCCAATCTCAAGACTTTTTATTTCTATACTTGCTTCTATTATATTCTTATTATTTTATGTCATTAAAGTGTTTGTGTTTATTCCTCTTTTTACATTTATGTAATTTTATTTACACATTTTCTCTAATTCATAATCGTGCATTTATCTCTCGCCATTCTCTATCACATGACTTTCCTCTTCTTATTATATTATATTTAACTTTGGTTTCCCCTTCTCTCCTTCCTCATCACCTTCCTCTATTTCATTCATTTGCTATTATCTTAGTTGATTTTAACATTATGTCTTTTCTCCATTATTTTTTTAAGCAGTTTTCCTCTCTGTGCACACTGGTGGTGTAGCAGTAGGCGTCACTTGGTTTAATTAGAGCTCTGTATCTGGTTTGGCTTTGCTGTCATGGCTTGTTTCCTCCTCTCTGAATATAATGGCAGATCCAGCCTTCCAGGGAAGGCAGCTTACTTAGACGGCCCCAACAGCGAGATGCACAGATCAAAGCGTAAAAACACAAGAATCATGAAAAAGCAAGGCAACATGGCTTTTTCCAAACATTTACAACTCCTCCATAAATGAATTCAAAGATGCAGAAATGACTGGACCAGCAGACAAGCTTCTGCTGTGGTCACTTAAAAGAGCAAATGGTTTCCATCACTCAGGTTCCCCAGCAACCCTGAAAGGATTCTTCTCTGCCTTAGCTTCGACTGCATGTGCATGAGCATGACATCAGGCTTACCTTTTCCTACCTCACAGACAGATTCAGCGTGGAAATCCTCAAGTCACCTGAGTGTTAGAGACGTTACCACCACCATGAAGGCAGCCTTTGCCTTACCTGTGTAGTAGGGCACTGGAGCCTGAACATCACGGAGGAGCTGGTACACCTGAACAGGTTAAAGTAAAACAAAACGGTCTTGTTCCTGTCAAAAAAGCACACACAAATAGTGTTTATCCGTGGGAACGCTCTATAAGAATCAAACCACAGGTGCTTTGAATGCATCGTCTTTAAAAATTGACTTCATCTTCATGTGGGTGCAGCATCTTCTCAAACCACCTTCACGTTGCCTGACAATCAATGCTCTGTTTTGTAATTATTAAAAGTTGAAATACATTGTCCACCAGCAAGAAAGCATTTATCACGAGGCAGAAGATCACGTCATTGGGAATGATGTTGACACACATGTTTAATGGAAGGAGAAATTAATATGTCTATTTTAGAAAGAAACTTACTTTAAAGACCATTAAAATATGATTTGACTATGTGGGAATAAGAAATTATATGCAAAAAGAAATGATAACATCTAAAATTTGGGAATATATTCCTTCATCCAATTTTTGTATTTATAGATTTCTTTAACATAAGCCGTATTACGTTGGTGATGTACAAAAGCAATAATTGCATTTTCTATTACAAACTGTACTAAGTGGCAGTCATACACATTCAATGGAATATATCCTGTCATTTGAGATTCTCTTTGAATTTCAATGATCCTATTAGGGAGATGAAGACAATACCAGTTCTGTCCACTTCATGGTGGCATAGTGCCACGTCCACAGCAGTGACTGCCGTGTAGTGACAAAATGCCTCTGCGCTGGCTTTTGCCTGCTGAAGGATTGGGGTTAGAGCTTCCTGGAGCGAAGCCCCAGGCGGTCCCCTGGCAATCAGTGGTCAAGATAGGACCTGATGCCGTAGGCAGATCTCATATCTGGAGATAGCCTTGGGAGCGAGCCCTCCTGGCACCCTGCATGATCTTTCTCTGTATTTCTAATCTTTTCTGTTTTTAGCTGACCGCTTACCAAGAGATCAAAGTACGTCCTTGGCTCGGCCCCACCGTTCATTAAAGCAGTCCTTGAGGAAATAAAGTATGCCCCACGCCACATGAGCCTGGGAAACTTTATTAATTATGATACAGAAATGGCTAAAGTTGATATGTTACGAGGGAATCGTCATAGTGAATCAGATTTAGAGAGAAAGGAAGAGTTAGAGAAAATTCCCCAATTCACTTCCTTATACAGGAGCCTATGATGAACAAATAGATGGGTTAATGTTGATGGACAAAGACTGTTATATTATACTTTCAACTTTATGGATAGGCTTGCTAGACCCCAACCCCCATGATGTCTGCCGCATAAGAAGGTACTAAAAAATATAGTTCAACAGATGCAGAGAACTGATTAGGTATATTTGGTCACTAGATGAAATAAAGGGTTAAGAGGAGAAAGGGCCATGATAGCGATAATGAGACAGAAACTTTCTGTTCATAAGATGTAACCACTTGCCTGAGGCTTACAGTCCCAAGGACAGGAATTCCCCTTCTAAGAGTTACAGTCCCAAGGACAAGAATTCCCCTTCTAAGGACGCTTAGTGACTAACACCTATTCCTGATAATACACTTTTAAACATTGCTAAAATTAAACATTACTAAAAGAAGTTTTCATACTGTGCCAACTGATGATACATGACTTTCTGACTTGTTCTTTGTTTGAATACTATATAATGAAAGCCTGATTTTAGTAAAATCGCAGCAGATTCTCACTACACAGTGTGTCTGTCTGTCATTCCCTTGCGTCGTATCCTGGCTATCCTATCCTTCACCCTGTTCTCCCGTGGATAGTGGTCTCCAAGAGGGTCCGTGGCAGCGTAGAAGGACCTAAGATGATGCTGGACTCATGGCATATTTGGGGGTCCTGATGGTGGTCATCAGAGGGAGGGGACTCTGGACATGTGTCGGGGTCCTGATGGTGGTTATCTATATTAGCAGTTCTCGCCTGTGGCTCTGACAAATACCAAGGCAATGTAGGAAGGCAGTTTGTCTGACTCAAGCACACGTCTCATTAGAGTGAAGAGTCATAGCAAGATTGTGAGACAACCGTTCACACCGCATCCATGGTCAGGAAACAGGGAGCTGCAAGCTGATGATCAAGATTGACCATTGTAATACTCAAGACAAAATTCATGGCAAAATAAACATTTTCTTGGAATCCTGTGGGTGGAGTGTCTCTCTCTCTCTCTCTCTCTCTCTCTCTCTCTTGCTCTATGTAGAGACAAATTAAAATGTGGTGTGATCATAGACTATTATTAAAATACAAAATTTGATTTTATATAAGGAACGTGGTAGAATCGAAAGGACACCAGGCTGGCAGTGAATAAAGACTGTGCAGTTACAACAAAATCAAAGTCATTCATTGCTTCCAAATTCTGGTGTCAGATACATACAACAGGACATGCTGGGTTCTGAAGTTACAGAGCCGAGTGTAAAAGGTGACTAGACCACGTAAGGAAAAGAGCGGATACAGCAACTGCAAAGTGGGAAAGAAAGGAAGACAGAGACGGTGTGTGGGGATGGGATCCTCTTGCACAGGGGATCCCAGACACTGTCCAGTCAGGATGAGAAGCAGAGGGAACTATCACTGTGCTGCTCCAAGGGGCTAGAAGGAGACCGAAGCTCAGACATGGGGTGTGGCTAAAAAGAGGAACGAAAACGGTTTTCCACAGCGGGTTACCAGTGGAAATCACCTGAACTAACAGAACCACATCAAAAGGTACTTTTTAAAACCTGCTAGAACTGAGCCCGAGACCCGAAGGAGACGACTGTGGGCAAGGAGGGCCAAGAGCCAGGCCGGGGCCTTTCCTTTGGTTATAGGTTCTTCCTTACCACTTAATTTCCTTCCAAATGCATATAGTATTTTAACGCAAATTTTAAAAATTAAACCAATAGGACGTTGGGTTGGTCATATATTCAAACAGATCTGTGGGACTTGTCATTTAGTGAATGATCCTGTGGCTGTTTTCATTCCTGGTCTCAAGGGTGGTGGATATCGGGGCTCAGTCTCTGACTCAGTCTCCTGTAGCACGTGTTGAAAGCCCAGCAATCATCATGAGCCGAAGTTCTTGTAGCAGCCAGAAGGTGGCGGTGTAATCAACCAAATTCACACCTTTCGGTGGAAAATACTGAAGACCAGGCCTTCAAACCGTAGCTCAGGAGCAACTTTTGTGCCGAGAGGCAATGGAAGTCACACAGGGAGGAGGCAAAGCACATGTGTCCTCTGGAGCCAGGGTTTCATCTGGTATTTCAGGAACCCGTCGGTGTTTCTCCCACAGTCCTTTCGTCTGGGCATAGGCAAAACCCAAAAGGCCTGATTCTTCTCCATCCCAGGTACGATGCCCTCTCCAAACGTAGGCTCTGAGTCCAGTTATGAGGAATCTCTGCTCCACATGAGAACTCAAGGATAGTGCAAGGCCATCGTGACCCAAATACAACCACTTAGTGCCCACACTGACCTGAGCATGTCTCTGGCTTGGCTTTCCTCGCCAGAGATGTGTCCACTGCATCCTGGCACAGAAGTGTGCACGTTTATCTAGTGCCTGACTTTATGTAATATGTTTTGCACACACATGCACACACACATGCACACACAGCCTGACTTTATGTAATATGTTTTGCACACACGTGTACACACACACACACACACACAGAGGCCAAAGGTCAATCACAGATGTCATTCCTCAGGCATTACCCACATTTTTATTGAAAGACAGAGTTCCTAACTGGCCTGGAGCTCACCAAGTAGGCTCGCCTGGCTAGCAGGTGACCCCAGCGATCTGCCTGCCCCTAGTGGCCCAGTACTGGGGTCACAGGCTGGGGCCACCACACCCAGCTTTTCAAATGTGAGTTGAAGGGACTGAGCTCAGGTCCACACGCTTGGGCAGCAGACCCTTCTCTAAGCCAGCCCCCCAATTCCTTCTGTGGAAGGCTGAGGACAACATGCAGGCGTGAGTTTTCTCCTCCCTCCACGTGGGTTCCAGGGATTGAACTCTGGAGGCCAGGCGTGGCAGCAAGTGCGCACCTTTACCCACTAAAGCCATCTCTCTGGTCCACCTTGCCTTCCTGAGTTGACGCCACATCAGGCACATTTCCCTGTCAAAAACACACCTACGCACAGTAGTGTTACAGATGGATGGTATCTCACTATTGTATCATAGAGCCCAGGTCATCAGTCTCTGGGCAGACAAGGAGACGTTTAGTTTCCTTGTGGCTGTTTCGGCTGTGACAGCAGACTGACTCTCTCTGAAAGTTCTTTCACAGGCCATGCCTCCTAGGCTCAGTCCCAGCCGGTGACAGCACTGGGAGGAGTTTGGCCTTTTCAGAGGCGGGTCATACTGGGAGGAAGTTAGACCCTTGAGGGGAGATAGATGGGGCCTCTGCCTGGTTTTCATTTCTCCAATTTTTGGCTCTTATGAGATGATCATACCTCATCTGCCATAGGCTTCCACCTTAGCATACCATAAAGCCACCAAGCGATGCAAAAGTCCAGGACCACAAGAGCATGAACCATGAACCAGAGCGAAGTTTTCTTCTTTTAACTCGTTTACGTGTTTTCTCAGAGCGATGGAAAGCTAACACGGCTCACAAAGTTTCAAAAGATTCAAATTTCATTCAGTCAGTTTCTAGGCAGAAAACTGCTGAGTCACGGGAGAGTAAGTGTTGGTAAGTATTTGATAAAACCTTGCAAATAACACCACCTAGCACCCTGCTAGCAGTGGACAATGGGGTGCTAACCTCTCACCCCACCAAATGCCAGCAGCAGACAATGGGGTGTTAACTTCGCACTACACCAAACACCATCAGTGGACAATGGGGTGCTAACCTCTCACCCCACCAAACACCAGCAGCTGACAATGGGGTGCTAGCCTCTCACCCCACCAAACACCAGCAGCGGACAATGGGGTGCTAATCTATCACTACACCAAATACCGGACATTTTAACCTTTTTGGTTATTTGACAATCTCACAGGCAAAAATAATTTTTAAATTTGCAGTTTCCTTTTCAACTCTGACAACAAGTGTCCTATTGCCCTCAGGCATCATAGGATTTTATCTCCTGCTTGTGACCTTTGTCTTGTTTTTAGTGGATAGCA